CGAGACACTTAGTGAGTGTGATCACATTTAGGATCAATAGCCGTACTATTAAGAGGGGTGAAACTCGTATCGAAATGCGGTTATCAAAGTTCCACTAGATGCTCTAACTCATTGCATATGCATTTAGGATCTAGTGGAGTGCTAACACCCTTGAAAACATTTGTGAAAATATCATAACACATGTGCACAAGGTGATACACTTGGTGGTTGGCACATTTGAGCAAGGGTTAGAAACTTCACTGGCAGAGTGTCCGCCCGTAGAATGCGGACAGTCCGACAGTGCCACCGGAGCTCTATACAGAAAAGACGAAGGTCTCTGTAAGTGACCGGACGCTGGTCTCGGTAGGACCGGCACGTCCAGTCAGTGGTAGAAGTGATCGTGCTGTTTCGATCTCATGACTAGATGCTCAGGGCCTAAGTCTGGTCAGTATGATGTATGATGACATATGCAGCGCACAGGGGAAACATCGAGTGACCGGATGCTGGATGAGTCCTGTCGGGCATGACCGGACGCGTCCGGTCGTGATTTTTCTCTTCTAGTACCTTACTAGAAACGACCGGACGCTAGTGTTGGTGCATCCGGTCACTTTGGAGCAGCGCGTTCGGTCATCACTTGACCGTTGAGATCGAGCGATCAGTGTTTGAAGCCGATGCCACGTGGCAAACATCGGGCGACCGGACGCTGGGGTCCTGTATTCGGTCGATCTGACCGGAGCGTCCGGTCACCCCGAGTTGTGCCTAGTGAAGGGGTACAACGGCTCTATTTCATGGGGGCTTCTATTTAAGCCCCATGGCCGGCTCTAGCTCACTCTCTTGGCCATTTACATTGACATAGCAACCTTATGAGCTTAGCCAAAGCCCTCCCACTCATCTCCATCATAGATTCATCATCTTTGTGAGATTGGGAGTGAATCCAAGTGCATTGCTTAAGTGTTTGCATCTAGAGGCACTTGGTGTTCGTATTTCACTACGGGATTCGCTTGTTACTCTTGGTGGTTGCCGCCACCTAGACGGCTTGGAGCAGCGAGGATCGTCGAGCGGATGTTGGTGATTGTCTCTGGCTCCGATCGTGGTGATTGTGAGGGGTTCTTGACCTTTCCCCGGTGGAGAGCCAAAAGGTACTCTAGTAAATTGCTCGTGGCTTGTGTGATCTTCATCTTATGTTGGTTGTGCGGCACCCTATTGAGGGTTTGACGTGTGATGCCAATTAGCGTGTAAACCTCCAAGTGAGTGAATCGCCACAACGAGGACTAGCTTGCCGGCAAGCAAGTGAGCCTCGGTAAAAAATCATTGTGTCATCATTTGATTCTGAGGTGATTGGTCTTCATTGGTATTCATTCTTGTGATTGATTGGCTCTTTCCTCGACACGGCGGTATAACCATCTTGCTCACTCTCTTTACATTACCACAAACTAGTTGTCAAGCTCTTTAGCATATCTAGTTGCGAGAGCTTGTTAGTTTGGTTAGTGTGGCTCTTTAGTTAGCAATTGAAAGCGCACTAACTTAGTGTAGTGACATAGCTATTGTGTGGATAGAAACTATATAAACTAGAATTATGGTAGGTGGCTTGTATTTTTAGTAGGCTAGCGTAACACTTGCTTCGCCTCATAATTATCTAACTGGTTTGCTAAGTGTTGTTGTAGAAATTTTTAATAGGCTATTCACCCCCTCTAGCCATTAGGACATTTCAGGGGTAGCCCGTGGACCTGGCCGTTGTAAAGAAGGGATGTTCCAAGGGTTCCTTTGCATAAGTGCTGTCTCGAGAAATAGTGCTGTGTGGATGCGGGTTGATTCGGTCTTAGCGTGGGGGCGTTTTCGCAAAAGTGCCGGCGCACGCGTGCCTCCCCTTGCGGGCCATTTCCGCATGGATGGGCCACGTCCCGCGTGGGCCGCACTAGTGGGCCGCGCATGCGCACGCGTTGTGCGTGCGTGGGCCGCGCCGCTCGCTAGTGGGTCGCGCGCGGGTTGAATTCGTTTTTCATTTTATAGGAGATAGAAATAGCTTTATATATTACTTTCTAAGTTGAACTTTGGAAATTAATATCAATTCATATAAGTATCCAAAAATGGTGAAATAAATTCTGTTGAGTCCTAAAAATATTGTCTATCTGATAGTATGGTTAGTTTATATATATATCTATGTTGATGCTAAGGTCTATTAAATCATTTGGAAGTGTTAATGTTATTTAGATGAATAATTGTACTAATTTTTGTGGCAAATCGGTAATAGCTTTAGCCATGAAATTTTTACAATAGGTTCATTAGATTATTATGTGCTCACTCTAATTTTTATAGCCTTAGAAGAGGTTGAGAAATATTGTGGCTAAGTACTCCTTGTTGTAGTATATATATTAAATCGATAATAAGAATAAGGATGCCTTTAATTGCTAAGCTAATACGTGAAATGTTTCATACTTGTTAGTAGGAATAATAGGTAGCTTAGCATCAGTCATTAGAGTGAGATTGGTAGATGTATTCTTATTTTAAGAGTTTCTGTTGTCATGTTACTAAGTGTTGCATCATTATTTCATGCATGTAGATAACAAGTTGGTAGAGTTCGTGACTACGGTTGAGCAGGAGTATGAGGTGGTAATTGAAGAGTACGATGAGGAGATTCTCATACAGGAGGGAGCCCCGGAGCCACCAGCGACTGACTTTGCTGACACCTCGCCTGCCCAATGTAAGCCTCGGTGCATAACTCTTATTTTGAATGATCACTTGATATATATATATATATGTGATGTGCATTTACGTTATAGGCATTTTATGAAAACTACATGCATAGATATACCTACCTATGAGTCCTACTAGCATAGGTCGAGTAGCTGCTATGCTCAGGATTTTCGGTAGCGTGAGTAACCTACCGTTACTCACAATAGGTGATTATTATTATCACTTATGATAAAATGGTGAAAGAAAAAATAGAGACCGGTCAGGGATATGGTACGAGTATTGGTGGGTGTAAGAGGTTATGTCCCGCGGCCAACGGGGCATAGCTTGGTTACACTGTTTTTTTCTGTCCGTGTCGGTTAAGGAACGGCCATTGCATTGGGTTCTAGGTAGGTCACAGACTTATTATCCCGAGCACATACTTGTTTATGGGAGCAGGGAAGACTTGTTGATCTATTGTCGTGGGTTCCGGCTCTTTCTGGACCGACTGATTGGAGGCAGAGATGGTGGAGGTCTAAGCACCACACTGAGTCCGGGACTCATGTGTGGGGGCTTGGAGTCCAAGTTTGGACGGGGACCTGGACCCCTTGACAGGAGAGTGGTGGGTTGGTCCTGTTTGTGCCTGGGGTACAAGCGGAGCGTGTGTTTCAGAGTACCCAACTGGGCGCATTGATTCGCGAATCGCCGGGTGATCCAGTACGACTTGTCTACAGTCTAGCACCGTAGTAAAAACTGGAAGATGAAAGGTGGTGAAATAGAACTGTTTGCTTAACTCTTGATCGAAAGTAGAACAGGTGCTTACATAGAATGGTTAGATAATGAATTAATTATGACTGCTAATAATAAACATACATAAGGATTCACTATTAGTATTACTTTCCGCAAGAAGGGAAATCTAGCAAACCGTAAAGCTTATCATGTTCCTTGGAGTCGGGAAATTATTCCCACTAGTCGGATAAGTCTTGCGAGTACATTGTGTACTCAGGGTTTATTTACCCCTGTTGCAGGTGCAGCTTGAGGAGTAGCTGTTGTGTGAAGGATTCTTCTGGTGGGCACAGACGGATTCTTGTATATTATCGATAGATGTTTATATTTAATTTCGCTGTTTAATTTCTACACTCTAAACTTAGGCACTGTAATAATGTATTTCTAAGAACTTTGGTCGTATGAAATGGACTAAGTATTGTAAACTCGTTTTTATTATTGGATTCTGGAGAAAAAATGTGGATTATTCGAGTTCCCTTTGGGTGTGCTCGACGGAATCCGCCCGATGTAGCTGGCTTTTGGGGTGCTTAGTGTCTGGTAGAAGACAAAGCGCCTCCGAAGGTGTGTTATTTCAGACGATTCTGCCACATCATACATGACTTAGCGATTTTAAGAGCAACATGTAGAGTTTAAGTTTTTTCTTTAAATTTTCTATAAAAACTCCAGGACACGCTGAACCAAAGATGCCCTGTGCTATGCTGTTCTTTCAACCACATGAGACGAAGGGTATTCTACGAGCCCATGAGAACAAGTTAAAGTAGGTGATATTTCGCTTTTCACAACATACGTTAGCCCAAAAAGCAGTTGAAAGCAGGAGAGAAGGTGCGATGGGTTTTGTAATAGAGTAAAAGCTACTTTTATCTAAAAGCTATTATGACTTTTCACCTTTTGGTTGGCTTAGTTGGAAAGCCCAACCAAAGGGTAGGAGGATAGAGTGTTTTGTTGTACGCTAGTTCCGGTAGAGAGTTAACATTGATGCAGCTCCAATAACAAAGCTAGGTCTTAGTCTTTGCTCAGGACAAGCAAAGATTTAAGCTTCAAGAAGCTTGTTGATGTCACTGATGCAAAAATATAATATAGTTAGGCCATCAACATTTCTTGATTTGAGCGTAACATTTCTTGCTACCTTGATCTAGCTTTAGCATGGGACGCTTTTTTATAGTGGTGCCTAAGCTATCATCAACCTATCTAAGTAGGTAGACGCCTCAGAGTACTCGCCGCTCAGTGGGCGCATTCGAACAAAACGAAAATGCCATGCTCATTGTTAGCTCAAGGCAGTCAACATGAATTTTAACGAAATGACTCGATGCTACAGCTTAGCTCTGGCAATACGTGTTTTAATCGAGTAGAAGGTTTACAATGCCCCACAATCCTCAGGTTCAATACCAACTCTTCAGGTAATTCATTTCCAGTTACACCGTTAACATAGTTCAGCAACAATCTTTACAATAAAACTGGTGGAAGTGACCATGTCGATGGAATTGGGACTAATTCTTCACGCGGCTTCAGAATGGCAAGCACCACTGTCATCAGCATCATGGTGTTACTTAGCCACAGGTTACCACTTACAAGAAACTAGTGCCCAGTGAAAAGTCACTAAAGTTAGAAAGAATCTGAGAGCGGGTGGTTCCAATCTGCTGTGCAATCTCGAGCTGCTCTTCTAAAGACAGCATCTCATAGCTGCAAAAAGGTGAAAAATTCAAAACTGCATAGTTAAGAATGCATGATACCATAAAAACGAAAATAAAGAATATGAGAACTTCCTTGACTGGGATAGTAATAACCAGGAATCACACCATGGGATAGAATTTTGTTCAGAACTTTTATTACATAAAAACTAGTCGACACAAAGAAGGGGATAGTCAAGCGCTGAAATATCAATATGTTCTAATTTGTTACTCATCCGCAATAACATCGAACAATTTTATGATGTTATGTTTAGAGCAATACACTTCAAAGTTTACTAAATTTACTAACAAAACAATTTTGAATCATTAAGAGAATGAATTCCTTTTTTATCTGTTGCTCTGCAAAATTTGGAAGGTTATCATGTTTGTTCAGCATTTTAGTTTAATATGTCTTACTGATTTGGTAAAAGTCATTCCCTTGCATTTTACTAGTGTGAAATTTTGCATCAATAGAACACCATTTAACCTTATTTTGAACTGGATGAAATGACAAGTTGAAGTATTGAAGTTTCACTTACTGAGAAAGAAGCTCAATGTCAATGATGTTATCTTGTCCAGGACGATGCGCCTTGCCATTTGACTCAAAATGCCTAAATGATCTTGGATTCAGGCCGCAGACATGGGGTACAGCATCTACGAGCTTCCTCTGCAAGCTCTGGAGCCGGCAAAATGTCAATTCATCAACAGGTGCAATGCATCCAATGCCACCATCCAACGTTCCAAATACAAGAGCAAAACGATTTGTCTTTTCAGATGCTAATCCTTGTGTAGGCAACATCTGTAATCTCAGAAACTTTGACACATGAGCTCCAACATGAAATTCTGCTCTGGAAAGGAGCTTTTGCCCCTTCCAGCTCTCCACCATTTTGGGGGCATAATAGAAAATCTGCAAGGTGTCATTATTAATCAACTGAAATGTAATTAAGGGCCAAATCCTTGTGTTCCACTGAAAAATATCGAAATTAAAAAAAAACTCGACCGGGGGGGTTAAGACTGCCCCCGCAGCATTACAAATAAGAAGAAGGACCTTCTCACCCGGCCGAGAAAACCCCCGAACCCCCGCCCCCCACCCTTACACGGTGGCTTTCCGTCGCCCAAGTGAGAATTGAGCCAGTGCCCCCCAGTGCTTTGGTTATGGGGACGGACGAAGAGATTTTTTTAACCTCGGCCTGAAATTCGCTCCCACGGGGAGTCGAACCCAGGACCTGAGGAGTGCCGCTGGGTCACCTAACCGTTTGAGCTAGGCGCCCTTTGGCAAAATATCGAAATTCTGAATACGTCACAAAAAATTTTGATCCATTTGCCAACAATATTTGAATTCTCTCCACCCTTCTCTTCCCCTTGGTCACATCGGCAGTGTTAAAAAAGGTGGTGTTCCGCGGCCGCCTAGGCACGACTAGGCGCTAGGCAAAGGGGTACCGCGGGGCCTAGGAGGGTAGGCGGGTCTCTAGGCTGGAGCGGCGCTTCCGCGGGGATGGGCGTCGATTTCACAGTGCGGAGGTGGGTGAGGCAGTGTGGAGGCGGACGAGTACGCGCGCGGGCCAACTTTTTTGGCTGGAGCAGAAGCTAGAAGCGCGTGAGCAGCGGGCAGCAGGGCGGGAAAAGAGACCGCCTAGCGCCTTTTCCCGCTCCACTGCCATCGATGATCTCATGAGGGCTGTCCACCTGCCGAGACCTCCCACCGGCCATCCTGCTGCAGTCAAGCACCTTCCCAACCTCCCCTCGCTTCTCCTTGTCTACGACTTTGTCCCCAACAGCACGCTATCACCAGGCTGACGACAGCATCACAGGTTGCATCCCCTGCCGCTCCACTGTCGAAGTACCTACCATGTCCACCCCGGTCATACCAGCACTAAGTACCTGACTTCTGACTCAAGCCCTCCCTCGTGCACCGCACCAGCACTGTCCTGCATGCAATCCAGAGTGTAAAGCTAGAAGGGAAAGAGAGGAAGAGATGAGGGAGAGAGGGCAACGAAGCGGTGACGGTGGTTTGACTACAGGGTTGTCTCTCTATTGCCGCACCGAGGAAGACAGAAGAATGGTACATGAAGAGGAAGATGGAAGATAGGGGCACCATGGTCTTTATGTCTTCTAGTAGTCAACTACCAGAAGTGGCAGGAGAGGGAGCCAAAAATTTGTAATGGTGGTGTGGAGACAAATTCTTTTCGTGGCAATGAGAGAATTTTGCTATTATTCAGTGGCATGTGAGGAATTATCTCATCAAGCAATCATGTGAAAACTTACTTCATTCAGATGTGGAATCAACTAGATATTGTAGCATAGACCAATTTGCAGGAAGTCCAATAGAACCACATAAGAATAATTATTATACATAAAATGACTGCAATATGCTGTTACCCAAAAAAAAAAACATATTGTCAGGAAGGAGCGAATGATTCAGCTTTGTGAAAAAATGTTTCCCATGGGCTTGATGTTGCTCCCAGTAATATAACAGTGTGTTTTCCATGCACCTGACATCATTTCCTTCCCAGTCTAGTACCCACCGTAAGTTGGCAACAAGGAGTTGGGGGATGCCATTAGTCTAGAGCATGCTTACAACTTACAAAGGCTGCTGCTTAGGGGAATGCCACCAAGCAGGTGCCCCAACGGCCACCCCCCTTAGGGTTAAGAAAGGGGGTTCATTCCTCATACCAACATGCACTTGCACAAGGGCTTGGTGCCTAGGCACCATCTAGCTAAACACTAGCCTAGTACTTTCTTTAACATTGATTTCAATTTTATTATTTATTTATTTTGATAATGGGGCCAACAAGTATTGAGTGTTGGTTTGCCATACCCAGGTAAGAATAATCCTACAAGAACTACTCATGTACTAAGATATGATGTTTCAAGCTGCCAATGCATTGCAGACAAGCTAATAGGGAGATTAGTAAAGAGCTAGTGAAGACGGAATGAAAGGTTTTACAACAACAACAACAACAACATAGCCTCTCAGTCCCAAGCAAGTTGGAGTAGGCTAGAGTTGAAACACACTAAGAGCCCCAAGTCACGGTTCAGGCACTTCAATAGCTGCTTTCCAAGCATTCTTATTCAAACATAGATCTCTAGGTATATCCTAAGCTTTCAAATCTCTTTTTATTGCCTCCCCCCATGTCAATTTCGGTCTTCCTCTACTTCTCCTGATATTATTAGCTTGGCTTAGGACTCCACAATGCACTGGTGCCTCTGGAGGTCTCCTTTGGACATGGCCAAACCATCTCAACCGATGTTGGACAAGCTTTTCTTCAATTGGTGCTTACCCCTAGGCGATCACGTATATCATCGTTCCGAACTCAGTCAATTCTTGTGTGACCACAAATCTCTCGTAACATACGCATTTCTGCAACACTCAGTTGTTGAACATATCGAATCTTTGTAGGCCAACATTCTGCTCCATACAACATAGCCGGTCTAATCGCCGTTTATAAAACTTCCTTTTAGCTTTTGTGATACCCTATTGTCACAGAGAATGCCAGAAGCTTGTCGCCACTTGATCCACCCTACTTTGAACGTCCGCATCAATATCTCCATCCCTCTGTAGCATCGATCCCAGATACCAAAAGGTATCCTTCTTAGACACTACTTGACCCTACAAACTCACATCTCCCTCCTCCTGTGCAGCTCCGCCAAAGTCGCATCTCATGTATTCAGTTTTAGTTGTACTCAATCTAAAACCTTTAGACTCAAGGGTCTGCCGCCATAACTCTAGTTTCCTATTTACTCCCGCCTGGCTTTCGTCCACTTACACTACATCATCAACGAACAACATACACCAAGGGATATCCCCTTGTATGTTCCTGGTAACCTCATCCATTACCAAGGCAAAGAGATACGGGCTTAAAGCTGACCCTTGATGAAGTTCAATTTTAATCGGGAAGTAATCTGTTTTACCATCGTTTGTTCAAACACTAGTCACAACATCGTTGTACATGTTCTTGATGAGGGTCACGTACTTTGATGGGACTTTATGTTTGTCCAAAGACCACCACATAACATTTCTTGGTATCATGTCATAAGCCTTCTCTAAGTCAATGAAAATCAAGTGGAGGTCCTTCTGTTCTCTAAACTGCTCCATAACTTGTCTTATTAAGAAGATTGCTTCTGTGGTTGACCTTCCGGGCATGAAACCAAATTGGTTTGTTGATATGCTTCTGTGGTTGACCTTCCGGGCATGAAACCAAATTGGTTTGTTGATATCTGTGTTGTTCCTCGCAGGTGCTGCTCGATGACTTTCTCCCATAGCTTCATAGTGTGGCTCATCAACTTAATTCCCCGATAATTAGTACAACTTTGGATATCTCCCTTATTTTTGTAGATTGGTATCAATATGCTTCTTCTCCACTCCTTGGGCATCTTGTTCAATCGAAAGATATTGTTGAACATCTTGGTTAGCCATACTATAGCTATATCCCCGAGACATCTCCACACCTTGATTGGGATACCATCAGGGCCAATCGCTTTGCTCCCTTTCATCCTTTTCAAGGCTTCTCTGACCTCCGATTCTTGAATCCTCCGCACAAAGCGCCTGCTAGTGTCATCAAACGAGTCGTCCAGCTGAACGGTGGTGTTCTCATTCTCACCATTGAACAATTTATCAAAATACTCTTGCCATCTATGTTTAATCTCATCCTCCTTCACCAAGAGCTGCTCTCTCCCACCCTTTACGCACTTGACTTGATTGAAGTCCCTTGTCTTCTTATCGCGAGCTCTAGCCATCCTATAAATGTCCTTCTCTCCTTTCGTACTCAAACGTTGGTAAAGGTCCTCATAGGCCCGCCCCTTTGCCTCACTCACCGCTCGTTTTGCAGTTTTCTTTGTCACCTTGTACTTCTCTATGTTGTCTGCATACCTGTCACGATACAAGTGCTTATAGCACTTCTTCTTTTCCTTAATAGCCTTTTGCACATCTTCATTCCACCAGTGTCTTTCGAGTCGCATCCGCTCCCTTTGGTCACTCCAAGCACCTCTGAAGCAACCTTCTGAACGCATGTTGCCATCTTCTCCCACATGCTGTTTGCATCGCCTTAATCCTTCCAAGGGCCCTCTTCAATGACCTTTTACTTAAAGACCTTTGATGCCTCCCTTTCTAATTTCCACCACTTCGTTCTAGCAACCCTAGCTTGTTTGTTCCCACGAGCTTGCACCAGAAAGCGAAAGTCAGCCACCACCAGCTTGTATTGAGCGACCACACATTCTCCAGGTATCACCTTATAGTCCACGCATATTCGTTTATCCCTCCTTGTAAGAACAAAGTCGATTTAACTAGAGTACTGGCCGCTACTAAAGGTCACTAAATGAGACTCTCTTACTTAAGAAAGTGTTAGCTATCATCAGATCAAAAGCTATAGCGAAGTCTAAGACTTCCTCTCCCTCCTGGTTCCTACTACCATATCCAAAACCCTCACGAACCGCTTCGAAACCTGCACTTGATGTACCTACATGGCCATTAAGATCACCTCCTATAAAGAGCTTCTCGCTACTAGAGACAGCTCTAACCAAGCGATCTAAGTCTTCCCAGAAAAGCCGCTTAGCACATCATGGCCTACCTGGGAGGCATACGTACTAATTACGTTTAAGACTATATCACTAATAACAAGTTTAACTAAGATGATCTTATCCCCTTGCCTTCTCACCTCCACCACACCATCCTTAAGGCTTTTATCAATCAAAACTCTTACTCCATTTTTATTTGAAGTTGTCCCTGTGTACCAGAGCTTGAAGCCTACTCCATTTTTATTTGAAGTTGTCCCTGTGTACCAGAGCTTGAAGCCGGTATTGTCCACCTCCTTCGCCTTCTGCCCCTTCCATTTAGTCTCTTGGACGCATAAGATATTTACACGCCTCCTAACCGCTGTGTCCACTAAC